GGGGCCCATCCCAAATCTTCCCATGGCAGCTTGTCCTCCCATAATTTAAAAAAAAGTGAGGACCTAATGGCAGATCTCTGTCCATCCTCTCTGCTAGAAGAGGGCGGGGTTGGGTACAAAAATGAGCTACCCAGAATACACAGACAAATTTTGGATTCCTGGGTGGGTTCCACTCTCCCCACTCCCTCTATTTCTCTGCCCTACTTCCCTTTATTTCTTCCTTTCTTTCCAAATATTTATTGAACACATACTATATACCATCAATTGACTCAATGTATAGCACATAGTAAATATTCAGTAAATGCTTAATTTTGGAAAAAGTTAAAGAAGGCTGACCAGTAGAAATCACAGTGGTTTTAGGGGTAGTATATTCTATTTTGTTTGCTATAAATAATTCAAATATGGTCTATATTATTTGCTATATGTTTCTTATCATTACACATGTCTATTCTCTACTCTCATACCTCATCTTTTCACACTAGGTTTTAGTAGAGTCACTTTATTATTTCTCTTAATTTAATATATATAAGTACTTACATAAGCGGGGCTTTGGCTAATAATGTTTCTATATAGAATTTACTGGAAAAAATACTCTTTTACAAAATAAGAGATGATTTCTTTGTACTCATTTAGTAAATATTTATTGTGGTATATTCCACAGCAGAGTTTCTGGGGAATACAAATGATTAATGAGCTCAATTGCTAACTGAAAGTTTGGCCATTCAAATTCATCCAGGGATCCTGGGAAGGAAGACTCCATGATCTACTTCTAAAAAATTAGCCAATGACAACTTATGGAGCACAATTCTACTCTGGCATATATTAGAACCATTCTGATAAACATTTTTAATGTTTATGAAGTTATTGTTGTTAGGTGCCATTGAATTGTTTTAGACCCATAGAGACCCTGTGCACAGCAGGTCCACTGTTGGTCCACTGTTGCAGCCACTGTGTCATTCCATCTTGTTTAGGGCTTCACTCTTTTTTGTTGCCCCTCTACTTTACCAATCATGATGGCCGTCTCCAGTACACAAAGTAGTGAGGACATAAACCAGATACGGTCCTGAACTCGTAGAACTTCAGTACAGTAGAGAGATGAGATACTTTTCAAGTAATTGCAGTCGAGTGTGTAGAGACTATTCCCCTGACGGAGATGAAGTGGCACAGTGGCTGCTACAGTGCGCTCAGACATAGAGACAGGTGGGAGGACGGTTCAGGATCAGGCACTGTTTGTTATGTTGTATAGAGAGTCGCTATGAGTTAGAATTAACTCAATAATACCTAATAACAACACAAAAAGTGGTGTGTAGTGTCACCCCTCCCCTAAATTTATGAGGAAGGAAGAAAATCATTATCAGCTGATGAGATGGAGGTGACTTTTTACCAACTCTGAAACCAGAAGTCCTTTCCATAGAACTCTCCCTCTCTGCCGAGTTTGATCATTTTTCCCAATGACCATACAAACACACAGGAATTAGTAGGCTATAACTTACTATCATGATCAACTTGGAAATACAGGAATAACTCAGGCTATAGTTCTTTGATCAGCTTCTTGGATGTTTCCTCTGGATCCCTGCTCTTGGGTGTTACAAAACCTTTGGCTACCCTGATAAGTGGCCAAGGGTACCCACTTTGCTAGGAAATCTCCTGCTTGAAGGAACAAAACTCTTTAGCTCCCTCAATTGGCTTGCCAATGGTAGCCATCTGCACTAGGAAGTCCCCCTCTGTCTTGTGCCAAATTCCTAAGTCTGCTGAAACTGTTTCTCTGCTGTTATTCCTCACTATCTATGATATTACATCTCTCTCTCTCTAAACTGAGTCTAGGAGGTTCTCATCACATGAACCCGTCCTGAGTTCAAAGGACATGAACTACTGCTGGCTTTTCTAGATGGTAATGTGGTCTTATCTCTCTAGACTCTGGCATCGGCTCACTTTAAGCCCAATGGAATGGCAAAAATGACCAATCCCCTGTAGGGTTTTGTAAACATAAAGTTTCACCTACACAAGTGTTTCATGAACTTTATTTGCTTTATTGGCAGACAGTCAAAGCTGCTTGGTAATCCATAAATACCTTATTTTGCATAGTAGTACCTAATCATTTTGTGGACTTCACTACACTTCAAGTAAACTGTGAAGATGCTTCAGAAACATAATACAAGCTTGTTGTTGTTAAGTGGCAACCAATGGGTTATAACTCACAATGACTTTCTGTACAACAGAATGAAACACTGCCTGGTTCTGCCCTTTCCTCACAATTAGTATGCTTGAGCCTGTTGTTGCAACCGCTGTGTCAATCCATCTCCTTGACAAGCCTCTTCTTTTTGCCAAGCATGATGCCTTTTTCCAGGGAGGAGTCTCTCCTGGTAGCTTGACAAAAGCCATCCTGGCTTCTAAGCCACATTCTGTCTGTACTGCTTTTGAGTCAGATGTGTTTGTTCTTCTAACGGTACTTTCAGTATTATTTGCCGGAATCATAATTCAAATGTATACTGATTCTAATGTCCAACTTTAACTTGAATATTGAAATATATAAGCTTAGGGTCAGAGAGAGTTTCCTGGAGGGAGTTGCATTTAACTCAAGAATAAGCCAATTCTTTCAAGTTCATTCCAAGAAGCAATCTATCAACGTTAGCATAAGCTTTAAGAGTGGCCATTTTAAACAATGCTTAAAATTAAAATTAAGGAGCAGCCTAAAATTAACATGAAGATGAAAATGTTGATATGCACAATGGTTCAGCATTGTCTTTTATTGAGACTGGTCTCTCCCATGGTCCTAAGTAGGGGAAGATGTAATGATAAGATTTGAGAGGAAAGTACGTGAACCAGCCATAAAGATCTACCTTCTGAATTTTGATCTTGTTTATCTCTTTGGGATTTCAGTCTCTAATCAGGATTCTGGGAACCCCCAAGGGCCGTGCTGCTTTCAGAATCTCCAGTGGATTCAATGGGCTGCTGTCTTTGCTCTCTGATCTGGAGGGATCTCTTCAAGAACCCCCTCTACAGATGTGGGAGTCAGTCTCTGCAGCTCAGACTCTGGACCTGATCTTCCATACCCTCTCTGCTGTGTCTGCAGCACTCCACCTAGACCCTGTCAACAGTGACTTCTTCTGGAGAAACGCGCTGTTTGAGAAATTGGCTGAGGCTATCTGCGTGCTGGGCTGTTTTGGAGTCCTGGAGGAAACGGGAACACCACTACAATCCTGGGCAGACCCAAAGCCCAGGCCATTTGCTGATTTTCAGAGTGCTGCATTTTCCTTCAACAGTCCATTCCCATCCAGTCTACAGAACTGCCTTCAGATCCTCAGCTTTCTGGACAGCATGGTCAGTAGCAGCCTGCACCTGCAGAAGGATTTGACCAAATCCCTGGGGGTCTGTCTGGAACCAGTTGTGGATGTGCAGAAGGGAGAAGCCAACAGCACCTTCCAGCAGTGGCCAGACCTTGAAGAAAGGTAGAGTTTTGATTATTTCTTCTGAAATCAAGGGTCTATCTATCTCCTATTTCTCACCCATCTGGGAATGTACTGAGCACACAAAGCCTGGTCCTTAAACTTGGGTGCACAGACATGGTACATGGTCTTTCTCTATAAATCAAATGAAATCTGACTTTAAGCTCCCTCACCAAAGGAGCTGGCAGGAAATTCAGTCTGAATCAATATAAAGTAGGCAGAATACTTTGGGATCACATAAGAATGAAGAGCATGACAGATGCCACAGAAAAAAAAAAGTTAAGATATTATGACTAACCTTGTGCCTATAAATAGGAAACTTAAATGAAATGAGGAAATAAACTTGAAAATAAACTAGCCAGAAATGATTCAATAATACATTGAAAACTCTTATCACAGGAATAAAACTGACAAGACACCAAGCTCATAAGATTTTACTGTTCTAGAAAATATTTAAGGAATCTTTATTTAGAGACACAAAGACCTCTGCCTCATTCCCTGCCTCATGTTACAATGCTAGCATAATTAGCTGTCAAAAAAGGATTGCTAAAAGCCAAATTCTTTCACATAGATTTTTATTCTGCCTTCTTTGAATTGATTGGAAGAAACAGGTTGTAGAATCTCACTTTTTAAAAAAATTAAGGTTTGCTTTTTGGCCTCTGTTCTGGAGAATATCATTGTGTGCTGGAGAAGATTGTAGACTGTGTTTTATTTAGGTGGAGTGCTCTGGATGTATCAAGGAAGTAGACATGGTTAATTGTGTTGCTTAGTTCTTCTCTGTCTTTATTGAGTTTCTTTGCTGATGATCTGTACTCCTTGAGAGTGATGTATTGAAGTCTCCTATCACTATTAACGAGCTGTCTTTTTCTCTTATCAACTCTGAGTTTGATTAATGTATTTCAACGGTGTTTCATTGAAAGTGTATATATGTAATTTGGTTAAGTCTTGTTCTACTATACTTTTAATGAGGAAGTGTCCTTTTTTGTTTGTCTTTTTTTTTTTGCCCTGAAGTCTATTTTATCAGAGATTTATGTTGCCAACTGGTTTTTGCATGCTTGCGATTAATTTAGTAAAATTTTCTCTATCCTTTGATTTTGAGGCTGTGTTGTTTGTTGTTTGTTTGTTTAAAGTGTGTCTCTTGTTGGCAGGATATAGGGAGGTCATGTTTTCTAATCCAGTCTGCTACTCTCTGTCTCTCGATTGGTGCATTTAATCTATTGTCATGTGAGGTGGTTAGTTTATTGGGGGAACCTAGCCTAAAAACACATGTGGGGTTTATTTAAGGGTACAGAGATAAATGGCTCAGTGAGCCCTGTCTTTCTGGGTCTCCAGTCCCTTGCTTTCTGATGGTCAGATGAGGGTGCAGCTGCCTTAGCCAGTTCCCTGCTACAGCCAGCAGGGCACACTTCCTGCAAGACATCCTTGAAGGGAAGCCACATGGACCTAACCCAATGCATCCCTGGGTGCTGGAGCAGCTGTGTCTACTCCCCTACCAGTGTTGAAATGCTTACACATTCACTGATTCAGTTTCCCTCCTGCAATCGACATCATAGTGTGTGTTTTGTGAGATGGAGGAGGACTGTGTGGATTGGTGTCAGACTATGGGCTAATGGGTTAATTTTGGATTTGTGGGCTTGGGAAGCACTGACTTGGGATGTTTTCTTGATGTGCATTTCCCTCTATGTAAAACTCTCTTACACACGATTAGCTGTGGCTTTCTTTCTCTGAAGTACCCAGACTAACACATTATGATACCTTGGGAGTGGGGTACTGGAGAAACAAACCATAAGATGGAGTGTACATGTTTTTTTGACCTCTCCATCATGGGAGTTTTTCTTTTCTAGCCAGAGTTAGGTCAGATGGAGCCACACTATTCACTCGGTTGTCTTCTGGGGAAAATACGGGAAGTGTGAAAATAGAAAGTTTGTAAGCCCACGTTCTTTGAGCCACTAAAATTTGATCTATAGGTGAGTTTAGACCATGCCTGCCAAGAAAGCTATGCAAAGAAATATATGACACACCCTGTGCTTTGGATTACTCAGGAACCAGTAGTCTTTGCCAGAAGATGGAAAAATTCTGGAACCATGAAGAAAACTCCTCTCTGGGACTGACTGTTAAACGGAGCCTGTGAGCGGGCTGAAATGCTTGCTGGGTGAACACGTGGATCTATTTGTTGAGTTGAAGTGGGAGAAATGCAGCAATAAAGAGACGGATTGCATTTGGTTACTGACACCTGTGGACTTGGTTTAAAGGAAAAAAAGTTCTTCATTTGTCTAAAGTTCATGACCTGGAAGGAACTGGCTAGGCTACTCTAGTATGGGCGAGAACCAATGTTCTGAAGACAAGGCGACCAACGGGCACCCTGTGGACCCTGAGTGAGATACCCACCTTGCGTTGGCCAAAACCCGATCAGTTGGAGTTATTTGAGCCTGTGAACTGGTGCATAATTGCTGACTTTATGGAAGACCTGTCCGGATTTGCCTTTGTTTATGGATGCAGACTTCACAAGGTTCCAACTGCAATGAAGACTCATGTCGCAAAACATGATTGTCTTCTCTGAGAACTGCTTGATGTAAGTGGGCAGTTTAGAAACTAGATACTCAAAATTGTGGGATAAAGGCATGAAG